CACGGCGGGTCGTGCGGGATACTGCGTCCCCAGGGCGCCGGGCCTGTGGAGCTCTGAGGTGGGTGTTGCAGCGTGAAGCTCTGGTCTGTCCCAGCGCCCCTTTTCTCTTCTCCGACTGCCCCCCGGGGAGCCGCCCTGTCTCCTCTACGTGATGGGAGGTGATCTACGGGAGTGCACGTGGGCCTCAAGAAGCACCGTTTGCTTGTCGGGTGACGCTGAAACCTCTGTAGAGAGCACCTTGCAAAGCACCCAGTTTTCCTTTTTTAAAGAGAGGTAAAAAAAAGAAAACCAGTTTTTGTTCAGGAAGCACCTCTGGACATCAATTCCAGGGGAGAGTTTGGGATCTTCGGTGTAACATAGTATAAAATTGAGACCAGAGAGCTGAAGTGACGGTGTTTTTCATTGCGTACTGACTTCAGAAAACATAACTTGTACAGCGATGTATCCAGTAAGGCTCTGTGTGCATACCGACCGAGATGCAGGTAGTGTGCGTGTGTGTGTAATACACACCTTCATTAACACAGTGATCTCTCTTTATCCATGGCGATAGTAATACAGCTGTTCAACTCTCTTCGCATCACCGCAACTAGCCGCTGTGGTTAGTACATAGATAATAGGTATCGTGTGCACCCACGGTCCGGCTCAGTGCTGCCCTCCGGTGGTGCGATCTGAGCACTGCAGGCACGAGGAGCCGCGCCGCGGAGGGGAGACGAACACGCCGCTCTGTGCTGCCCTCCTGTGGTGCCGTGTATTAAAGGCAAGTCCTCAGTGCTGCCCTCCTGTGGCTCGCCCTCCGCATTGCAGCAATGAGAGAAGGGCAGAAAGAAGGGAAAGGGACGGGGCCGCCGGCGTGTATCTAACGGGGCTTCGCGGCCTGGGGATCCTGGCACAACAAAACGGGCCCAGTGCCGCTGTCCGGAGCCTCGCACTGGACACCGAAACCAAGAAATTCAGCCGGAGAAATAAAACCAGGCCCGGTGTTGCCGTCCCGTGCTGCACAGCGGGCATTGCGGCCGGGCGACAAGGGTCGAGAGAGAGCATGTAGCTCGGTGTCGGCGGGCTCTTGCAGCACACTGCACCCGGAAGAGTAAGACGGAGGGAGAGGTGGAAAAAAAGCTTCGCTCGCCCGCTCGCTCGGGGCGTGACTAGAGCAGTGACCGCGGCCGGGACGGACACACGATACATGGACATTAATTCCGGGCGGGGATCGGAGGCTCGTCTTTTCATTGGCCACAATGAGACATGAGGCGATTGGGTGCAGTGGCCTCATGGGTGGGGTCAGGGCGGCTCCGCCCTTCATTCTGATTGGTCTTGGCAGGAGGAGGAGGCCTAAAACAACGCCCCCGCCCAGTTCTCATTGTGATTGGCTACCAGGGAATGGAGGACGCTCTGCACGTTTCTGCGGCCCGGTTGGACCGACTAGGATCCTTAGCGGCCCCGCTCAGCTAGTTGCCCGCTGCCGGATCCACTGTGTCCGGAAGCTACGTCCCGCTGCAGCCCCGCACACGCGAACGATGCCGGAGAGCTGCGGCGGGATGTTCTGGGGACCGCGGCGGGTTGGACGGGACACTGCGTTCCCAGGGCGCGGGGCCTGCCAGTCTCTCCTCTGAGGTGGGTGTTGAGCTTGAAGCTGTTTGTCTGTCCCGGTGCACCTTTCTTCTCCTTCTCCCTCCTGAGAAGCCACCCTGTCTCCTCGATGTGCCGGCAGGGTTTTGTTTTCTCTGGCTTTAAACCCCGGCCGCTCCGCGCAGGGTGAAGAGCAGGGAGGGCGGGACGGAGTCGGCTTTGTTCTGGGTCCTTCTCTCCGGGCTCCAAGCCCCTCTATAGCCCCCAGGCGGGGAGCGCGGAGCCGGCTTCGGTGCCCTGCGCAATGCCCGGCGCGGCCACAGGAGGGCGGCTCTGAGCCCGGCTTTGGCTCTGCCTCAGTGTTAAGACAAACCCGGCTCCGTGCTGCCCTCCGGTGGTGCACTCCGAGCACTGCAGCCACGAGGAGCCGTGCCGAGTTCGGAGGGCGACTCCCCTGCTCGGTGCTGCCCTGTGGTCCCGTCGAGGCGTTGCCGCATCGGGTGAAGGCAGAGAATTCCGAGCTCAGACCCGCCCTCCTGTGGCCGCGCCGGGCATTGCGGCGGGGAGACCCCCTGTATTTGGGTGGTTGGTATGTTCTTTCGGCCACTTGGTACCTCGCACGCAGGGTTCCCGCCCTCCTTCTCGGGGGCAGGTTATATATTCCCTGCCCGAGTCCCTGGAGACGAGTGCCCTGCCCTTGGCCAGCTGTTCTTCTGTGCCCCTGCCCCCGGCCTGCAGCCTGTAACCAGTGTCCAGGTCGCCTTGATTGTCCAGGTCTGGTCTCGTTTCACTTGGTGAAGTTGGCCAGAGAGTACGCGAGACATAGGGAGGAGGTACTTGCCTACACACTCTCTCTCTCGCCCTCTTTTTCTCTCTCTCTTGCCTCCTTTTCCTTTCAAAACTGTGGGGGAAAAGGTGGTGCACCACACATTGTGTGGCACTTTAAATTCCCCAGTAATAATTTGGTTCAGCCAATAATTTGGTTCGCTGAGACTGGCTCCGCTCTGGGGCACAGGCCTGCTCAGGCTGGGAGGACGCGGGGCGGGGGAGCAGCAGAGGGGGCGCGGGGAGACCCCTGTGCTGGAATGGAGAGAGCTTGCAGAATGCAAACACAAATGCGTCCATAAACACAATCTCTGACCATGAAGTAATCCTCAGAAACCATCTCGTCTCACTTGGAAAATAGTGTGATGCTTTGGTAACTCTGTGGGACTGTGGTGAGTGTTTTGTGAGGACAACTGTGGTGATTTTTTGTGGCAATTTGGGAAGTTTTTTGGGGTGGAAACAATATTTCTGTGGGAAAATTAATTATTGCTTTTTCCCCCAACTTCTCATGCAAGTGTCTGTGGCAATATGGTGATACTTCTGTGGCAAATGCTGTGGTGAGACGCAAAGTGTGTGGTGAGATGGTGCCTTCTTTTCACGTGCAAGATTGTGCGCTGGTTCTGTGGTGATTTGGGAATGTTTTGGTGGTGATGTGTGGACGTCTGGTGAAGTGTGTGGGGATTCAGTCATGTTATGTGGAAATATGGGGGGCTTTGTGTGAAAAGTGGCGATTTTGTGCGCTCCCGTGGGGACGTGGCGTGGACACGTGTGTGGGGATACGGTGCTGTCTGTGGGAAGCGGCGTGCTGACTTGGGACCTGCGGGTGGAAGAGCGAGCGGTGATGATGTGCAGCGACTTAGGAACTTTTTGTGGGAAAAGTGTGGACATACTGTGAGAGCAGCGTGGAAAACCGGTGGTGCGTGACCTTGGTCACTCCTGGGCTCTGGTGGGTTTCCGGCACGGCAAAGGGGGATCTTGAGGAGAGGCTGAGTCTGCCTGGCCGGCCTTGTGGCCCCGGGGCCGGGCGGACGGGCAGTGGCAGCTGCAGACGGTGCCGCACCTGGGGGGCAGCGGGGGGCTCAGGCTCCGCGTCCCACGCGTCTGAAGCTGCTGCGGGGGCTGAACCCGGCGCCCCTGACCTAGCGCCAGGGAAAGGACGGGCGACAGGAGCGACGGGCGGGTGAGTAGGGAGCCTGGATTCTCGTCCGGGCTCGACGTGACAGCCCAGCCCGTTCCTCACCCCGCTCCCGCCTTCCCCTCCGTGCACGTCCCAGCATGGGTTGCAGCGAAGCGGATCTCGCTCGGCTGACCTAGCGCCAGGGAAAGGACGGGCGACAGGAGCGACGGGCGGGTGAGTAGGGAGCCTGGATTCTCGTCCGGGCTCGACGTGACAGCCCAGCCCGTTCCTCACCCCGCTCCCGCCTTCCCCTCCGTGCACGTCCCAGCATGGGTTGCAGCGAAGCGGATCTCGCTCGGGTTCTCTCGGGCAGCCCCTGTTCTTTGTGCGCCAGCCATCCCGCGTGAGGGGGGCTCGTCTCGCCGGCTCCTGCGCTGCGCTGCGCTGCTCACGCTGTCCGGTGCGTGGCTCGAGGGCAGCACGGCCCGTGGCAGGGGAGGGCGGGGCAGGTGGGGACAGCCCT